CTCTTTCTCCTACTGTCAGTAGTTAACTGCATAAAATCTGAGTGTTTTTTTTTGTGAGGAAGATTAGCCCTGAGCTAACATCTGCTGCCAATCCTCTTCTTGTTGCTGAGGAAGACTGGCCCTGAGCTAACATCCATGCCCATCTTCCTCTACTTTATATGTGGGATGCCTGCCACAGCATGGCTTGATAAGCAGTGAGTAGGTCCGCACCTAGGATCTGAACTGGTGAACCCTGGACTGTGGAAGCTGAACATGCAACCTTAACTGCTGCACCACCGGGCCAGCCCCCTTAAAAATCTGTTTTCACTGTTTTAACTAATGTTCGACTTTATCTTTCACTCCTGCAACAAAGATTGCTGCTCTTCCTGTGACCACCTAAAATCCTGTTGATCGTAGGCTCTTCTGAAATCCTCTGAGTCGTCCATCCATCACTGATCTCTGCTCCTGGGGACACTCCTATTGGGCTGGCCGTTGGTGTTGCCCAAGTCAGCACTGACACACTATCTGTAGCTGACTATGATGTGCTGATTTTTTTCTGTGATTTAGTCTTGATTCCAACTGATTGTCTCCAATACCTTGAGACTGAAGACACTATTACTTCATTATCTTCCTTTGTGCCTAGTATAAGTACTTACACAGAAAGTACTCAAATACTTACAGGATGAATTGAAATACTGGAAACTGTGGTAGTTTAACTGTAAACTCAAACGCAGACCTTGTCATCTTAATGACAATTTCAACAAATATGGTTGGTTTTAATATATTTTAGGATCACAAATGTATACTCAACAAAGAAACGAGTTATCACAGAGATGAGGTAGAATAAATGAGAGGTGACTGCAGGTAAACTAGCTTTGTTCAGAAAAGGTTGGGCTGGCCTGGTGGCTCAGTGGTTAAGCACGCACGTTCCACTTTGGGTGGCCTCGGGTTCACCAGTTCGGATCCCGGGTGCGGACATGGCAATGCTTGGTAAGCCATGCTGTGGTAGGCGTCCCACATATAAAGTAGAGGAAGATGGGCATGAATGTTAGCTGAGGGCCAGTCTTCCTCACCAAAAAGGAGGATTGGCAGCAGATGTTAGCTCAGGGCTAATCTTGCTCAAAAAAAATTAAAAGAAAAGGTTAAAGAACTCCTATTACTGCACGAAATTGGGGTTCATTTGCCCAATGCGTATAAACAAGCCGATTAATTATGGTATCAGCCTTTGGAAAAAGAGATCAGCTTTATTCTGTGAGATCGTGTTGAAGGGAGAACAGGGGGTGTGTGTCCTCAGACCTGTCTCCCTGATTCAGGATTTGGGGCGAAATTTAAGAGGTTAGGGAAAACAGGCTGACACACGGAAATGCTGGTGGGACAGATTTGGATTGGTGGGGTTCAAGCATTTATGGTAAGGTTCTAAACATTTATGATAGGGTTCTAAACATTTTTGATGAGATGGGGAAAGAATTTTAACACCAGATCTTCCTGAATGAGAAACCTCTCGTGTCTGATAAAAGCCTGCGCAGGCGGCCCAGTGTTTCATTGGTTCAAATCCTGGGCGCAGACATGGCACTGCTCATCAAGCCATGCTGAGGCAGCGTCCCACATGCCACAACTAGAAGGACCCGTAACAAAGAATATACAACTATGTACCAGGGGGCTTTGGGGAGAAAAAGGAAAAAAATAAAATCTTTAAAAAAAAAAAAAAAGCCTGACTTTCAAGTCCCGTTGGGTCCTTGGGTCCCGTGGGAAGGAAGCCCTTTGGCTCCACAGTCATTTCACGTCAAGATTTCTTCTTTTGCTCATGCCCTGGCTACGGGAGCTTTAGCAGATTTTCTGAAAGGCAACACTTAGTCACTCTGTTGATAAGAGATGGGGTCAGCTGAACTGGTCCTGGAGGGCCTGCGGTTACACTCTCCTCCAGAAATATTTTTTGGACAGTTGTGAAGTACAGCTCCAAGACTCGGGGTGGGGGGGGGGCGGGCGGGCGGAGTCTACCACTTGCTTCCCAATATTCGTTTACACTCCTATCCTATTCTTTGTCCTCTGACCACTCTTGAAGCCAGATACCTGAGGGGTACTGTAGATATTAAACCAATTTGCTGTTTTTCCTGTTTAACTTGAGGGGTGATTCAGGGATCTCGAGGATTTGTGAGCTTGTTTTCCAGAGGATCTGTGGGCTTCTTTTGCAGAAGAAAGAGAATGCCTTCAGGGAGGTTGGGATCCTCGAAGGGCCTGGCCGGCCCTCAGCAGCTGGTGAAGCCCAGAAGTCAGATCGCCCAGGGGCTTATTGGGAGTGACCCCTTTGTTTTCCTGAAGCTCCTCCTGCCAAGTCCCTTAGCTCTATAAAATCCCTCTGCTTTCTGTTCTTGGGGAGGCGGATGTGAGCGAACCCAGGCTCCCACCTACTCATTTTTGCTAATTCGAATAAAACTTTCTCCATCTCCAAGCACCCATGTCTCAGTGTTTGTTCTGCTGTACGTTAGGCACACGAACTTGAGATTTAGAGGTTCAATATCACTCCCCCCTTTTAGAAAAGGTTATGAATCTGTCTTCAGTCCAAACACATGCAAACCTAAGCTATATTCCACATAACTATATTTTTCTCTAAGCAGTTGTTCGTCCTGTTCTCTCCTATAGTCTTTCTTGATTCCTGTTTTCAGCAGGCTCTGAAGTTATCTGTAATTTTTTTCCCCCCTCAGTAACAGGACATCGATATTTGCCCCCAATTTGCAGATTAAATCACCAAATCAGAGTGCAGTGAGGAGTGCCTGAGGTTACACAATAAATCTGGTCCCAAACAGGGGTGACCCTGGAATTCCCAGCCTGTTGGTTGGTCACTGACCCGCACTGTGCTGCGGGCGCACAAAGGAAGCTGCATCCCCAGCATTCTGTGGTGGACGTTGCTGAGCTTCGCATGCGTTATTGGGATCCTTTGCTTCCTGTAAGGCCCAGCATTTTCTTTCTCCAGGTTGGGCAGGCCTGTGGCTTCTCCCCAGTCCCCTCCCCTGCACTTTGAATATGGAAGCTGGAAGATGTGCTTCAGAGAAGCTCTAGGAGGCTGTGCGAACCAGAGGACTGAGCGTCAATGCCACGTGCCTGGTCTCCATCAGCAAAGCCAGAGCTGGGGCAACATTGTTTAGTTGTAATTAATGAATTTACATCGTGGAGCTGCTTTTGCTTTTGGATGGGAAAGGCTGCCTATGACTATGTTCAATTTGGAGGAGCTCAGGTAGTCTTTTGTTATAAAAGAGAAGCTGAGTAACGTAAAAGAGTCGTTGAACTTTTCTCACTCTTTCATCAGATCAGTACTAGCAGGGAGTTCAGTCATGACGGACGTAAACAGTGGCTAAACAGTTCAAGTGGCTGTGGATGGGACTTTTGGTTTTGAAACTTCCTACCTACACTGAACTGAGGAGGGTGACCAACTGTTTCGATCTGCCTGGGACTGTTCAGTTAGCACTGAAAGTCCTGCACCCCAGGAAACCCCGTCTCCAGTACACAAAAATTCCCAGTCTAAAGCAATGACTGCTGAAGGTTGGGGAAAAACTATGCATCCATGTGGCAGCCCTCCCAAATTGGCCCAAAAGCAACACTGTTTTTGGTGTGGAATGGATGCAGCACAGATTGTCTGTCTTCCAGAGCTGTTGTTGCTTTTCTCTTTGTTTGCTCCTGGCTGCTGCTGTTGGCAATCATAATTTGCCGCTCACAATAATCGATTATCCCTTCGTGCATTACTCTAAGTGACGCAACTGAAGTGTACAACCTAAGTGTGTTCTGTCAGTGTTGACAGGTGTTTGACTTGGCTGTTGACTAACTGTTGTGCTTTGTGTCAAGATGATGCCAGTTTAATTTCAACACTGTGACTATTTTGACCATGTTACTGCACAAAGAGAAGGATTTGCTTGCTGCAAGACAAAAACCAATTCTCAAGAGGCAAGATGGTGGCAGAGAAAGGGCATTTTATTACCTTGCTAGCAAGAGGGAAGATGACTGACTAATGTCCAAAAGAACCATCTTAAGCGGGGGAACAGAATCTTGAAGCAGTCATACGGGCCAGTGGGTTATGGGTGAGGGGGTTAGGAATGTTGACCCAGGAATCGCCACACCAGATCTTTCAGTTTTCATTGATGATGGCTATCAGCATACTCTCTGTTCAGGGGTCATCACATTCACATTCACATTACTAAGGAATGAAGTTGTTGTCTTTGTAGGGAAAGGAAATCAGGGTAGATGCCATCCCTACATCTCATTCTTTAGGATCTCCTTTTGGATGTTTACTTACTAAGACAGTGATGACTTTTAATTGATCTGATACTTTCAAGGATTCTAGCATTTGTCTTACTTGTCATAGCAGCAGTTCTATAATGAGGAAAGTGGCCAGCATTGGTACCAGGACAGAGAAAGGACAGGGGGCTGCTCTCCCCTAGAAATTCATTACCATATTCTCTTCTAGGTGATACCAATTGAAACAACTGGTGGAATATTCACTGTCTGTCAGAGTGGTTCTTCTAACAAATTATAAGCTGTGGTCAAGACAAAGATTGCTAAATAAACTGTGAGTGGGGAAAAACAAGGATCATACCCAATGTCAATCCCCCTGTAATAGGACCTATTATAGCAACTCCATGTTAGTGTTATGGAAACAGAACTTTACTGACTGTTTATTAACATAGAAAACCTTGCTGTTAAGTAGCTACTTTGCATATACCAGTAAACGTTTGCCATATCAGAAGAGGGAAAATCTTACATTCTAGTACATCTTTTTCTCAAAGCAGTTAATGCTTAGCAGATGGTGCTGAAGAACGTGTGCAATTGATCAGTCTTTGTGCGACTGACAAGCAGCAGCTAACCTGGAAGTATTAAACCTCTCTATGAAAAGGCATGTTTGTTGTATCCTTTGTGTAGAATTTTGTAACTGAATAAAATATTTACTATAAAATGCTATTTTACCTTCTTCCTTTGAAAATATGGAATTATGGCAAGAAGTACAAATCTTTAACAAATAAGGATCAAACAACTTTAAAGAAAATGTACATTATTTTAATTTATTGAACATTCAATATGCAATATGGCAGTTTTTCTGGGATTTAACCCTAGGATATGCTTGCTGCTGGTGCTTAGCAAAAGACTCCACTTCACACTTACCACTAATGAAATGCTTCACTGAATAAAAACGAAATACTGAATAAAATAAGTTTAAATATTTTCTTAAAAAAATCATTTTAAAGTTCATTCTGTTCAGTCTAACGACTAACACAATAGGAGAAAATACACTAGTTTAATCTAATTGGCTGATTTTATACAGCATATATCTTTCAGTCCACAAGTATATAATTGAATGATAGAGAACACTCAATATAACCATTTTTACAGAACTAGGAAATACATTTCTAAGAAAGATTTACAACCCCATTTTTCATACCCAATGCAACAGTGTAATTCTAGAGAGGATAATGCCAATGACTCCTCCCGTGAGTCGTGACTGAAGTCGCTTTGCTATCAAAATCTGTATTTCTGATCCGTTATTAGCATTGAGACAAGATTCAAATATTCCCAAAGAAAGAAGCACAATGCACGTTGTGATCGCCTATTCAGCAACAGCGAGCACTGCATTCAAACTATCTCATTCCAGGAATTAAATAAGGTCAGCCACATTCATTGGCATTTCCTCCACTGTAGTATTGTAGAAAGTCTCAATGTCATGAAGAATCCTCTGTCTTCTTCAATGTTTATGGACATAGCTTTCCTTCTAAATTGATTCCTGCTGCCAATTCTGAACAAAAGAAAAATTATTAATCAGAATCTTACTTATCAAATGCTACATGAACTACTAACAGTTTGAGCTACTTGTTAACCTTCAGTGGCTGTTTATTTGTCAAGATTATACATAGAGTGCTTCTTATGGGAGCACCAGATGCTAATCATGATATCCACAGAAAATGACAAGATTTCTTTTGTTGTTGGTGCAAAAGGATTCATCTGGCTGCAGAATCAGATTCTATCAGGCACGTTGAGCATTATTATTTATAAAGCAGATGACAGTATTGTGCTTGTGGTAGTGAAATTAAAGTCCACACCAAAGTGGGCCAAGAGCAGGTGTCAGCCTGGGACAGATGTAAACACCAGGGACAAAACACAAACAACAGCTATGGAATCCATGTCGACATATTCTTGGAGCTACAACTGCAAATATAAACTCCGGAATGTTAACTATTGTTTGGGACCACGCTATCAATAGCTACTAGCCACACGTGGCTATTTAAATTTAAACTAATTAAAATTAAATAAAATAGGAATTTCGGTTTCTCAGTTGCATTAACCACATTTCAAGAGTCACATGTGGTCTGTCACCACTGTGTCAGGCAGCACATGTTACAGAACATTTCCATCCCTGCAGAGAGTTCTATTAGATAGATTTGGTCCAGGACTCAAAAGCTTTTCCAGTGTTGGGGGGAAACTTCCAAAAATTTGTTATGGTAACCCATATTTATCACTGCTTTCTGCTCAGTTCACCTCATACACTGTAACACAAATGACTGAGATAAGTTTACCCCCTTAACTCTCTACCAAAACAGGTAATACAATGAATCAAAAAATGTCTTGGCTGAAGCAATCTTGAGAAAGAAGAACAAAGCTGGAGGTGTCATGCTCCCTGATTTTAAACTATACTATAAAGCTACAGTAATCAAAACAGTATGGTCTGGGCATGAAAACAGACACACAGATCAATGGAACAGAATAGAGAACCCAGAAATAAACCCATGCATATGTGGTCAATTAATCTACAACAAAGGAGGCAGGAATAGACAATGGAGAAAAGACAGTCTCTTTAATAAATGGTTTTGGGAAAACTGGACAGCTACATGCAAAAGAATGAAACTGGACCACTATATTACCCCATACATAAAAATCAACTCAAAATGGATTAACGACTTGAATGTAAGACCTGAAATAAAAAAAATCCTAGAAGAAAATACGAGAAGTCAGCTCTTTGACACTGGTCTTAGCAATATTTTTTTGGACCAGTCTCCTCAGGCAAGGCCAACAAAAGCAAAAATAAACAAATGGGATTACATCAAAATAAAAAGCATTTGAACAGTGAAGGAAACCATCAACAAAACAAAAAGGCAACCTACTGAATGGGAGAAGATATTTGCAAATCATACTTCCAATAAGGGTTTAATATCCATAAAGAATACACAAAGCACTGACACAACTTAATATCAAAAAAACAAACCACCCAAGTAAAAAATGGGCAGATGATTTGAATAGACATTTTTCCAAAGAAGATATACAGATGGCTAACAAGCACATAAAAAGATGCTCAACATCACTAATCATGAAGGAAATGCAATTAAAACAATGAGGGGCCAGCCCAGTGGTACAGTGGTTAAGTTCGCATGTTCCACTTCGGCGGCCCGGGGTTTGCTGGTTTGGATTCTGGGTGCGAACCTACACACAGCTTGTCAAGCCATGCTGTGGCAGGAGTCCCACATATAAAGTAGAGGAAGATGGGCATGGACGTTACCTCAGGGCCAGTCTTCCTCAGCAAAAAGAGGAGGATTGGCAGATGTTAGCTCAGGGCTAATCTTCCTGAAAAAAAAAAAAAACCCACAATGAGACATCACCTCACACCTGTCAGAATGGCTATTATCAAAAAGACAAGATGGTGGGAATGCAAACTGGTGCAGCCACTATGGAAAACAGTATGGAGATTTCTCAAAAAATTAAAAATAGAAATACCATATGACCCAGCCATCCCACTACTGGGTATCTATTCAAAGAGCTTGAAGTCAGCAATTCCAAAAGTCCCATGCACCCCTATGTTCACTGCAGCATTATTTACAATAGCCAAGATGTGGAAGCAACCTAAGTGCCCATCAACTGATGAGTGGATAAAGAAGATACAGTATATATATACAATGGAATACTACTCAGCCATAAAAAAGAATAAAATCGCCCCATTCACAACACCATGGATGGACCTTGAGGGAATTATGCTAAGTGAAATAAGCCAGATAGAGAAGGACAATCTCTGTATGACTCCACTCATATGAGGAATTTAAACATGTGGACAAAGAGAACAGATTAGTGGCGACCAGGGGAAAGGTGGGGTGGGGGGTGGGGACAAAGGGTGAAGGGGTGCACCTACAACATGAATGACAGACAGTAATGTACAACTGAGATTTCACAAGATTGTAAACTATCATTAACTCAATAAAAATTAACTTAAAAATACATTTGTATAACAGCAAAAAAAAAAAAAAAAAAAAAAGACAAGAAATAACAAGTGTTGGCAAGGATGCAGAGGAAAGGGAACCCTGTACACTGTTGGTGGGAATGTAAACTAGTGCAGTCACTAGGAAAAACAGTATGGGGGTTCCTCAAAAAATTAAAAATAGAACTACTATAAGATCCAGCTCTTCCACTTCTGGTGTTTATCTGAAGATAATGAAAACACTAATTCAAAGGGATATATGCACCCCTACGTTTATGCAGCATTATCTACAATAACCAAGATATGGAAGCAACCTAGGCATCCATCAATAGATGAACGGATAAAGAAGATGTGGTACATATACACAATAGAATATTACTCAACCATAAAACAATGAAATCTTGCTGTTGACAAAAACATGATGGATCTAGAGGGTATTATAAGTGAAATAAGTCAGACAGAGAAAGAAAAATACCATATGATTACACTTATATATGGAATCTAAAAAACAAAACAAATGAACAAACAAAGCAAAGCAGAAATAGACATACAGATACAGGAAACAAACTGGTGGTTACCAGAAGTGGGTAGGGTTGGGGCAGGGTGCAAAATAAGTAAAGGAGATTAAGAGGTACAAACTTCCAGTAATAAAATAAGTAAGTCATGGGGATGTAATACACAGCATAGGGAATACAGTCAATAACATTGCAATAACTCTGTATGGTGACAGACGATAACTAGACTTCTTGTGATCATTTCATAATGTATATAAATATTGAATCACTATGATGTACACTTGAAATTAATAGGATATTGTATGTCAATTATACTTCAATAAAATAAATATAAAAAGAGAAAAAGAACAGAAACAAAAAAATTGGTAAAATTGACTTGACATTAAAACACATGAAACTTTTGTTAAAAAAAAAACGTCTTGGCTGGAACAATTTAAAACATCAAATAACCAAGACAAGAGAAAAACAAATATGGAAATACTGACTTGCTTTTTATCCAAACAATATTCTGTTTCACTTACAAATCTATGTCCTAACAGGCCAATGCCATTTCTGAGCACCACTTTGTCATCTATTCTTATCAACTAGTATATTTTTTTTAACAAAGTTATTTTTACTTTAGTAGGAAGACATAATGCAATTATTTAGTGCTAAAACCACTATACCTAAGCCAGAGTCAGCATAAATTGCTACCAGAAAATGCTGAGAAAATCACAATTAGAGAGGAATCACCAAGAAAGCACAAGATATGAGCAACATAACTTAAAAAAAGCCTCGTGTGTAAGCTAAACCAGATCTAACAGCATTATTGATTTTTTCTTTGACTAACAACTGTATAAAGTCCAAAATCTGGGCTACATTTCTCATTTGCTTTCCCACTGTGTTCTGATCAACCCTGAATCTTCCCACGTACAATTTAAATACATCTTATCACGTTTCTACATTTTCTGATTCATTTACCTGATTTTCAAGGTTGGCTGACAAAATCATACTTGAAAAGCAATACATGAATTTATTTCACTGGAATAAAAGCAAGTAATTCAATGAAGATGACAAATATTCAATTGAGAATATAGTTTTCACAGGTAGTGGGCAGATCACAGTTTATAATATAGATACTAGTTGTACATGACAAACACGAGACTGAGATATGATAGTGCCTATTCAAATTCTGATTCAAAAAGCACTGCCGCCCATTTTTCTAGGCCACAAAATAGTAATGAACTGCACATAAAGAGTAAAGCTCACTATGGAGTGTGGTCTTCACTCCCCCACAGAACTTGAGTTGACAAAGATGACTAAAAATCTTCCCCTCAAAACCAATTTTCAGTAGATAAATATTGTAATTAAAGAAGGAATTGAAATGCCAGTAAGTCAGTAGTAATCAAAATGTGGTTTGTCCCCTACCTGAACTCCCTCTTGATAACGTCTCTTTCTTTCTGTCACCACCTGCAAAATATTAACACGCCTTAATTTTCAGGAGTCATTGGTGAAGCCAGTGTTTAAGTAGGTAAACATGTATGAGACCATGCATCCCTGGCTGCTACAGCACCGTGGCCAACAGGGCTGAAGGGTAACAGTTTTATTTTGAGCAGGCGCCAAGGACAATGCGGCACTTCACAGCTGCATTGTAAGTAGATCCTGCGTCGGTTTATTAAGAAAATAATTAGATATTAACAGGGTCTTAATTAAGCAATACTAGGGAAGAGCAGCCCTTAACCACATCAGAAACTGGAATTCCCAGCAGCCATTTTCTCAGAAGCCAGTGTGCCTGTTGCCTTGTCTTCTGAAAAAGAACAGCTTGCACACTGGCTGGTGTCCCACATATCACAAAGAACATACAATTTCCTTCCTAAAGTATCTCAGAGAGGAAAACGTTAATTCATATCAGAGTCGGAATAAAAAGCCATTTGATTTCTGTCATCTCTACCACTGGAAGACACCAGTTAGAAGTTCATTCTATTAATTCTGCCTAAATACAGATATTATTGTACCAAATCTTAGAATGAAGTAGCCCGCACTTCAGAAAGAGGTTCATCTCAGTTTTTCTACTACCTGGGAGAGTTGCCTCTCTTCCTGTGTTTACTCTGCTAGCTTTATTACAAAGACTAAGATATGATAGAGTTTCTGCAATTTCAGCTCAGAGCCTAAATAAGAAGGTTAAAAAAAAAATCCTGGCTACAATTTTTATGTATATCAATTAGAAAAACATTACCCTCTTTCAAAATTCTTATAAAATATTGACACTTTCAAGGGTCAATTCTTCCTTCTCCACCTCAATTTGAAATGGATCTCTCATGAACTTTTTGACCACTTCCAACATATCTGTTGACGTTGAGGCAGAAAGCAACACAACCTTAAAAAAGAGACAATGACTAATTATGTTGACACATCAATCAAGCAGATCTAACAGTTTTTATAATAACACTTAGAGAAGTAATGTTTGAGACCAAGCGTCCCTGTCTTGCTATAGAATTCAGCTAGACAGAGATTGTAGGAAACAATTGCTTTCAGCAGGGGCAAGGACAATATAGCACTGCACAGCTATACTGTAACAATCAACCTTAACCTGCCAGCTATAGGAAATCATGTGCACACCTCAGTCCTTGTATTTAATTTCTGGTAAATCTCATAGATTTCATCTTTAATCCCTTGGTTCAACATTTTTATCTGCTTCAAAAGCAAGCATCTTGATCCGTTTTGGAAAGCAAAAAATGTCTTACTTAAGTGTGTGTCGTGCATAGAGACTTCCTTCCAAAGACTACAGATGGAAGGGGACGGGGGAAGAGGAACTTTACATGGGGAAACCTGACAAACGCCATCTCTAGCCAGGTGATCAAGGTCAACATTAACAGTCATGACCCTTGCTATAATGAGATGAAAATGGCACTTTATCTCTGTGGTCTTCCTCCTAAAAAACCCATAACCCTAGTCTAATCTTAAAAAAGTTCTTAAGAAAAGCTCCAATACAAAGGCATTCTACTAAATTTCTAACCAATACTCTTCAAAACTGTCAAGGTCATCAAAAATAAGGAAAATGTGAGAAAGTGTCATAGCCAAGAGGAACTTAAGGAGACACGACAATTAAATGTGATGGAGCATCCTGAGTGGGATCTTGGAACAGAAAAAGGACATTAAGTAAAAACTAAGGAAAGGAGAACAGATTCTGAACTTTAGTTCATAATAACATATTGATGTTGGTTTGTTAATTTTAACAAATATACCATACTAATGTAAGATGTTAATACGGGAAACTGGGTACAAGGTACCTGGGAACTCTCTTAACCATCTTGTCAATTTTTCCGTAAATCTAAAACTATTGTAAAAAATAAAGTCTCTTAAGGAAAAGTCAGTATTACTCTAGATATTCATGCATGGCAATTGGCTTAAACAATTAGGCTAATTATTTTCCCTCCCGTACCCCAAATATCACTGGTTTAAAAAATGCCCTAGGAAAAATCTGGTAATACTTACAAAGATATACTTATTTAACATATCAAATATTTTCCCTGGAGTACCAATAACTGTACGTGCTGTGTCCGTCTGCATTTTTTGCATTTCATTTTGAATGTCAATTCCACAACGCAGGAATGAAAAGCTGCTCCCATATAGTTCTCAAGCGCCAGAATGATCTTTTGGATCTAAAAATCAAAAGCTTAAATTATGATGATGTAGAAAAATACAGCCTCCATCAAACAACTTCTGAAGCACATGGCTAAATGGTGAACTCTTCATTTAATTTAAAATTCCAGTCTGCAAACAGCTTCTATGCAGCACAACACAGAATCACTTCCAAGCTTACAATGCAGACTAATCAAACTGTTTCACGATAAAATCCCTCAGAGCATCTCATTTTTAATTAGGTTTTTGTGCCTTTACAAACTTGGGATCCTCAGTTTCCTTGAGATACCAGCTAGATAATTAAAGAACCAAAACAAACATTTCCTACCTTATTTTTCTGTGTTTACGATGTGTAAGCAGACATGTAAACAACCTCTGCATTTACAGCTCCAAGGCAAATCGTTCTGCTGTGTATTCACTGATTATGATCCACTTTAAAATTAAACCCTTCCAATAGGGAACTGTGGCACACAGCCTTGATTTAGTAAAGCCTACAACTTTGTTAAGAAAAGCTTTCTTTCATAGCTAATAGAGCAGTGTGAGCTTTGAAAACAGATAGTATGCAACAGAGGCATCACAAATGACAAAGATTCCCGACTACTCACACATCACTGTGGTTTTCATGTTACAAAACTGCATTTAACCCTAACACTAAGACAAAGGGCATGGGTCCTGTCTACCCTGAAAAAAGCAAAGCTTCAGTTTCTCAATCTGTTGAGATATAATCCTGCAAATCATATCTGCAAACCTCCGTCCTGTTTAATTTGAAACAAACACTCTATGTGTGCATGGACAGTAATTAGAAAGAAGGTTTTGAATGGACCACTTTATGCTAAGCGCTAAGCTGTTCTTCACTTTTGTAGAACCACAAGCATCTGGGAATTTCTGTCTTCCTAGAGGCAGCCCTCAACCCATGACTGATCGTGGAGATGTAAACACACCCGCTTCCTGGCTCTCTGGTAAGGACCACCCCAAGGGTCGTCTGCACTGATTTTAAAGTCCTTCTGCGGGATTGAGCCACCTCCAGGGAACAGGCTTGTGAGCGTACCTTGCACAGCCTCCTGAAATAATGCACAGAGAACACAGCATCGCTTATGTGGTATTTCTTCCATAAACGCATAGCCTGAATCTGTTTATGAAGAAGCAAGAGGAAAAAACAAATCAAGGAATATTCTACAAAGAAACTGGCTGACATCCCTATGACTGTCACCATCCTCTACTGATGTGATTTTAATACCAAGTAGAGCTCTCTATTATGGATGCACTTGGGAAGATCAAAAATAACTTCATCATTTAACCTTATTAAAGGCATGAAAGAGATGGACAGAGGAATTGTTCCAGAATGAGGGAGACCAAAGAGACAAGGCAACTAAATCCAACATGTCAGCCTGGATTAGATTGTAGACCAGCAAAAAAACCATTTGTCTTTTTTTGGTAAAATGTACGTTAGTTGGACAACTGGCAAAATCTGAATAAGGTTTACAGGTTAGATAATAATATTGCATCAAAGTTAACTTCTTGATTTTGATAATTGTACTATGCTGTAAGAGAGTGCCCTTATTTCTAGAAAATACACACTGAAATACTTAGGGGTAAAGAGGCATAATGTCAGTAATTTACTGCCAAATGATTCAAAAAAATATTATGTGAGTATGTGCATGCTTGTGTATATACAGAAAAAATAAATGTGGTATAAATATTAACATCTGAGGAATCTAGGTAAAGAATATTGGAATTCTTTGAGCACTTCTGTAACTTTTCTATAAGTCCAACATAATCTCAAATTAAAAATTATTTAAAAATTCAAAATAAGAACATCAAGCCTACTAACATTTATAACTTACAGAAGAGAAACAAGAGGTCTGAAACTGATAACTTTGTTTTCTTTGTTCTGCACGGTGTTTTAAATCTGAATTAGATGCTTTCTCAGGACATTTCACATGAAAATCCAAATTTCCAGCTTCACTTGAAAAATCAGAAGATTCTTAACCCTAACCCTCATCCTCTGGGGGCATGAACCAACAAGCAGATGCCCACTTTAGATGGCATATGCATTGCACGTCACAGAATCTCACCTTTGCCCATTTTTCCTACACCTGGCCTTTCTCACTCCCTTATGTTACTCGGCCAGCCCCTTGTAGTATTTGAGTGTGAGGGCTTTGATCTATCCAGGAGCGCCAGCTCAGCTAACTTTAAGTAATTTAGTCTGAAGCTCATACCTATGACAATTACTAATTTTTAAAAAAATACGAAAGTAAGAGCAAAAAGTTTGTTCAGGCCCAAGAATCCCTTGTGGGAAATATGTAGATGTGTTTTCATTTACTATAAGAAGATAAAAGAAAGAGGACACAATAAGCCCGCAATGAGAATTTACTCAATGATTTTGTGGAAATTAACCAACTTAAGTATAAAAGAGACAAATAGATTAGATTTTTTTTTCCTTTTGCTCCAAAAGTCAAAATTAGCCTGAGTAAAAATTATGAGGGACATTTGAGAGAACACATATTTTTGGCTCAATTTAGTGGCAAGAACTTTCTAACGGAGGGCTGACTGAAACTGTAGTAAGCTACTTCATGAGGTAACGGATTTCCAGCTTCTTGAGGTGTTAGGAAGAGGCTGGGCAACAATGTAGTGGGGGTGCCAAGGGGCGGGGTGGGAAGGCAATACATGTATGCGGCAGCCAGGATGAATCCCCGTCATGGTCCCTCCTCTGCTCAGATCTATGACACTAGGAGGTGCCGAGGTCTCTAGGCAGACAAACATCCAATCACAGATGGTGAAGAGGAAATAATTCAACAATAAGTCATGGGAACTCAAGGGCATCTGCGCCTGCAGGGCATGGTTTAGGAAAAACCATGGGCTGGCCAGCCAGGGGCCCCCACAGCAGAGGTCTGTCTCTAGTCCCAGTGTCCAAGGAAGCTGAGGCAGGTACTGAAGACCGAGCAAGGGGAACCATGAGGAGGAGCAAGCAGAATAAACTGGAAGGGATCAGCACAGGGCGCAGGAAGACCTAGTGTATGGGTGAAAGAAACCCATTTCTACGATGCTAGGGGAAAAATTAAGTTCTATTTAGCCTTTATGGGTGCATCCACGATGTGTGGAAAGCCCTACTTATTCATAAAACGCATCAGCAGAAAATGATGTCAAAGACAGAAAAGCAGGTTTCAGTGAGGTTTCAAAAAAGCTTGATAATCAGAGGAAATAGAAAAACATCTGTACCTTGTGTCATGTCTGAACTTTGAAAGCACTGGTTCCAGCTTTCTCCTTGGGGATGAGACCCAGAGCTGCCTGGTAGGAAACTTCTCTGGCTGAGGCCCTCAGAAGGGAAATGATCATCGTGATGCTGAAAGATATGTGTAGGCTCATTTCCAGCCTCAAACTCTGGGTGGCCTGACAGGCAGGGCAAGAAGTCCATGTGGTGTGCAGTCTGACAATCTAGGAAGAAGAGGCACAACACAGTCCCTAACGAATGGGAACATACCATTCTCAGGAAAAATGCTCACAGGGCGGATGATCTACTAAACTGCTACGGACTTGAGGACTCAAAAGTGAATTACAACATGACGCGGAGGTCAGAGCAGTGGGGCGGAAACATCTGACCGGCTCATGTTAGAAGAGCACTGAGTACTAAGTCACGAGAAACAAGCCTCTTGTCACTTGTTACTCAGAACACTCCCACAAATCAGAAAGACTTTACACAGCAGGCAGGATTGCTACACTGGGAGGGGACTGGATTAGATGAGCTCAAAGGAGCTTCTTTCCAAATTTAAGATTTTGAATTTTACACCCTGAGGTACAGGATACGGAATGTACAGGATAATCCAAGGCTACCCCAACAAATAGGACCAAGTAACACCAGCTACATCAACCTGAAACAGATTTGATAACCAGGGAGTAAGGACTTTCTGGGTACTAGACACTGGAGGACACAGCAGGGGAACAAAAAGAGGCCCTGCCCTCACAGAGCTTACCTTCTAGTGAGGGAGGGAGACAGTAAACAAGTAAATCAAAAATGTCATGTCGAGTGCTATAAAGAAAAATAAATCTGGCTACAGGAATGGAGAACAATGGGTTCTATTTCAAATGAGCAGCCAGGGAAGGACTCCCTGATCTGGTGACAACTGAGTAGTGAGGGAGGGAGCTCTACTTGAGGTTCAATTGCTGGATGTGGAAAGTAACAATAATAATAATAATAATAATAAATTTAAATAGATCTCTCTTTAAAACTCCCTTACTAGAAATTTCCAAAAAACTCAGGATTATATTTTTATGTATCAAATCTAAGAAGATAAAGGGAAAAGCCGATGGTACACATTTCCTCAAGAAATGCTGGGGCGGGCCCTGGTGGCCTAGTGATTAAGTTCAGTGTGCTCTGCTTCAGCAGTCCAGGTTCGGTTCCCGGGTGGGGACCTATACTGCTCTGTTAGCAGCCATGCTGTGCTGGTAGCTCACATACTAAAAAACAGAGGAAGATTAGCACAGATGTTAGCTCAGGGCGAATCTTCCTCAGAAAAAAAAAGAGAAAGAAATGTTCATTTCAGCAACTGTCACCATATCACAGATTAATGGTTCTGCATTATTTCCATGAATTCTAGATCTTACTCAGCATAATTATGTATCTTTGTCACTTATATCTATACAATTAATTTTATGACCACATGTGCATTTTAGAAATACGCCAATATGAAAACTTTCAATGATTCTCATAAATTGAAGCTCATAAATTTAACAACTTAAAAGAAATGGATCAATTCCTTGAAAACTATCAACTACGAAAAATAAACTAATATGAAATAGATAATCTAAATAGTTCTACAACCATTAAAAAAATGAACTTGTAATTAAAAAGCTCCCGAAAAGGAAATCTTCAGGCCTAGATGCTTTCACTGAAGAAGTCTACCAAACACTTAAAGAATTAACATCAATTTTATACAATCTCTTCCAGAAAAGAAAACAGGAGGAAACACTTCCCAACTCATATTACCCTGGCACCAAATACAGACAAAGACAGTACAAAGAAAAGAAAACTAGAGACCAGTATCTCTCAACAAGTGTTGGTAAGGATGTGGAGAAACTGGAACCCTCTTACACTGCTGATGAGAATGTAAAATAGTGCAGCCACTTTGGAAAACAGTTTGTCAGTTCCCTCAAAAAATTAAACATAGAGTTACCACATGATGGGCAATTCCATTCTCAACATACACCTAAAAAAACTGAAACCATATGCCCACACAAAAAACTTGTGAACAAGTGTTCATGGAAGTTACTCATTATGGCCAAAGATGAAAACACAACCCAAATGTCCATCAACTGAGAAATGGATAAACAAAATGTAGTATATCCATACAATGGAATATTATTCAGCCATAAAAAGGAATGAAATACTCATACATGCTACAGTGTGGATAAACCTTGAAAACATTATGCCAAGTGAAAGAAGCCTGGCAAAAGGGCCATGAAGTGTCCAGAATAGGCAAATCCATTGAGACAGAAAGTAGATTAGTGGTTACCAGAGGCAGAGGGAGGGGGAAAATGGAGAATGACTGCTAATGGGTATGAGGTTTCTTCCTGGGGTGATGAAAATGTTCTGGAATTAGACAGTGATGATGTTTGAGCCTTGTGAATATAGTGAAAACCATTAAATTGTGCATTTTAGGTAACTTTTATGGTATGTGAATTATATCTCAATAAAAACCAATTTTTTAAAAAAGAAGAACTAGGAAGAGCACTTAAGAGGCTAAAGGTATTTGACCAGGCAAGAGATGATGGTGGTTTTGACTTAAGGGTGCAGTGGAGTTGGGCAGAAAGAAGTAATCAGATTAAAAAATGTGTAGGCAATAGAATTAACAGCACTAGGTGATTGCTCAGATGTGGATGGAACAAGATGTGGAGAGGGAAAGAGAGATGTTCATAGACTCCCAAATTTCTGGCATTAACTTTATGTGCAATGATGTTATAATCTATTGAATTATGACAGTCTGCAGGAAAAGCAAGATTAGTACAGGATTGTGAGTTCAATTTCAAACACATTGAGTTTGGGGTACGTATAGCACACCAAGGGAAGATGTTGAGTAGGCAATTGAATACACATGTATGATGCTCAGAAGAAAATCTGAGTTAGAGATAGCAATTTGGGGGTTTTCAAAAAAGCTGTAGGAGTAGATGAGATTCAGAGTGTATGGTGAGAAGATCTCACTTCTAACATGAAGTGTTGAGGAAATCCAACATCTAAGGATCTGGTAATCCAGCAAGAGACTGAGAAAGAGAGGAGAGAAGAGTGAAAACCAGACTTACTTCTAAGGGGCTGTGAGAACCAAGAGTAGAACTTATTTCTAAAAGGAGGGAGTGGAGTGATCTCTGGAAGAGGCTGGCAATCTTCTTCTGTAAAGGGCCAACAGTAAATATTTTAGGCTTTCCAGGCTATATAGTTTCTGTCACATATGGTCTTTGTTTTTCTTTTATAACTCTTTAAAAATGTAAAACCCATTCTTAACTCACAGGCCATATAAAAGCATGCTGAAGCTGGATTTGCTCTAGTTTGCCCCAATACTGGTCTACACTTAGTCTAGTTAGTCCACATGCTCTAGTTTGCCCCAATACAGGTCTACAGTGTTAAATATTGGTAAGAAGTCAAGAGTCAGTCCATTGGATTTAGGGAGAAGGAATTTACTGGCGACTTTTGCAGGAACAGTTTGAGTAGAGGGGTGAGGACAGAAGCACAAGAGTGGGGTGAGAAGAGAATGGGAAGTAAAGAAATAGAAACTGCAGGGCAGGCAATTTTAAAAAATTATAAATGGGAGATATAAAAACATTATAAACGGGAGAAGAAAGAGAGTGTTAGGTAGGGGAAGAGGGGGGACTTACAACTGTCCCCCAAAGAAGGGAGGGACCACAGCATACTTAAACGCTGGTGGGAAGGATTTAGTAAAGAGGGAGTGGTTAACCATGCAGGTGACACGAGGGATAACTGATGGCAGAGATCCCTGAGATGGTGAGAGGGGAAGGATCCAGAGCACAGGCAAAGGGACTAGACTTTGATGGAAGTTGGATGGATGCAGATGAAGGAGGGTGCGCAGATTTGCTGGCAGGACGCTCAGAAGCTCAGGTATTCTATTTTCTCAATAACACTGAGATCATTTGCTGAGAATGGCTTGTAAGAGATGTTAGAGGTTTGAAAAGAGTGAAGAGGATTTGAAACAGCAGTTGCATAAAATGGAAAGTATGAGGTGGCCAGGGAAACAACGGGCCCGCTGTGCAGTGCTGAAAGCCCGGGCGAAGCTGACTACCATCAACTTATTTTAGTACCAAATCTTCCCAGTGCGCAAGTTTCTCCAGCTCTTCCAGGAGGCTGCTGCAGGCACAAAGAAGACAAACAGCTGGATTCGTCCATGGTGGCAGTTCTCTCCGGTGGATAATAGCTAGTATTAATTGATAGCATTTATAAACCTCAGGGGTGGGGGAGTAAGTTTTTGTTAGTTCTGATTTTACAATTAAACCAAGGTATGCTAAGTGACTTGTTTACGATCACTCGGGTAATAAACAGTAGTTGCTTCATAATTCCACATTCCTTTCTAGGTGGTGGAAAACTTTTATAAGTTTTTTGGAGAAAAACTGGGAAAAGTTCCCAACAGGAATTTTAGAGAATAGTCTGTAAGTAAAATACTTTAACATTGTAAACACTAAGAAAATAAAACATTATACAAAGAAATACAAAACTCCTACAAGGCTTGACCTTTGATTTTTAAAACATACTAAGTCTACCTTACTATAAATAGCCACTGACTGTAAACCCATTTTCTGGCTTTACCCATCACCACATACTCATATTCTCTCCTTTCGTGGCTGGTAATGTTTCTTCTGTTTAAAACACAATGAAAATGAAAATCATATAAAATCATATATGGGGAGCAATGAATGAGACTAATATATAAATATTTTAGGGGCCAGCCCCATGACTGAGTGGTTAAGTTTGTGCGCTCCGCTTCGGCGGCCCAGGGTTTTGCCAGTTCAGATCCTGGGCACGGACATGGCACTGCTTATCAGGTCATGTTGAGGCGGTGTCCCATATAGCACAACCAGAGGCACTCAGAACTAGAATATACAACTATGTATCACGGGGCTTTGGGGAGAAGAAAAAAAAAAAAGAAATAATGGAAGGGCCAGAGGGTATAGAGCCTTAGAGGTAACTATAAGGACTTGGATTTAAGAAAAAACAATTTTATTATATAAGCCCAGCTTGCAGATATTTGATTTAGTAAAATTGATATACTACAGTCTAAAATACTTGCTTTATTATTGAACAGTATATTTCTTTTCACTGAAATTCATGATATGCATAATATGCACAATATTGTTCACTGCTTGGCTTTTTTCAACTTAAAATAAAAATTAAAAATTAATTACAGAATGACTTCTGCCAAAGATTCATACTTACTAAAGGCCAAATTATAATGACTAATAATAGCTAAAATTAATTACTTTTGATTCCCAGGCACTTGACAAGGATTTAATACAACAATCCCCTATGAAACGGATACAATTATTATCATCTCTATTTTAAAGAAGAGGGAATGAGGCCCAGAGGGATTATGTAACTTGCCTACTGTCATCAAAGTGGTAGGACTAGGCTTTGAACCCAGGTGTGTCTCATTCCAGAATTTGGGCTCTTAACCTCTGTGCACTATATTGCCTTAATCTCCACCTTCACAGGGCTGTACAGATCTCTTGCAGTACATATGAATACAATCTTGTCCACTGTGATCACAGCTAAATGATATGCCATTGTGTGTTAATATACAAACTATACTTTCACCATCACAGAGTATATCAACATTCCTTGACAGTTTAAGTACAATTATTTCTTCCCCAAAATATTAAGTAAATGCCATAGTGGAGAACTTCAATATAAACTAACTCTCCAGCCCTCTGAAAGATAAACTTGCTTTTGCTAACTAGATTCATTCCAACAATGAGAAAGAATTCCCCAGGAATCTTTCTTTGAATTGCACACTTGAGGCACAGCAGAACTGAATGGGCTTTTCAGGCCTCGGTATCCCATTATTTACTAGTTGCATAACCTTGGGCAAGCCCCTTTGGGTTTCTTTCCAACATGGATTACAAGCAGGCTCCCCACACAGGGAGCGAGCGCTGTGAAAGCACACTGCAAATGGTTAGGCGTACAAACGTTATTCGTGCCTAGGGTTGTGAGACAAAAAACAGGGCATCCAGTTAAATTTCAGGCAAATAATAATGACTTATATTTAAATTTTACTTTATATTGGGGACATATTTGTACTAAAAATTACTTGTTTATCTGAAATTTAACTAGCGTCCTGCATTTTTATTCCTAAATCTCGCAACTGTATTCTTGCCCCCAGGGCGAGGGGAGCAGGGAGTGAGGCAGGCCCAACTCCACTCTCCCCCCGCCCCCTAAATGCGGAAACCGAGGCAAACGGCGGGCTTGAGGGTGAACGTAGGAAGGAGGAAGAGAGGGAAGGGCCGGGTGCAGGAGGAGGTGGGAATGAGAACAGAATCCCGTCAAGCAGATGCTTTCCTCGGGTCCTCGTCCTCCCCCTCGACCCTCGGTCCCTCGGTCCCTCGGCACCTCTCACCACTCAGGCGGGCCCAACCCCTGCCCCTGGGCAGGAACACCCCCGCCCCTCCACCCACCGTTACCTCAGCGGCAGCGGCGGCTCGGGACACGTTCCCACCGGTTCCTCTCAGTCGCCACCAGCATGACCGCAACCGCAGAGGCCGCCGCCACGTCTCCAGGCCCGGGCTGCTTATTGATGTGCAGCTGCGTCTCAGGCGTCACCCAAATCATCCCTCCGTTCCGTACGGGAGTCTCTTGTCCTCCTCTGGCCACCGTCCAGGTCAGAACAAAGAATGGGCCAATCCAAGCGAGGAATTCGGGAGGGGGCGTCACCGCTAAGACCAATCAAAGAACAGAGCAGGGCGTCATGGCGGCGATTGGCCAATCGGGCCGCGTGCCCGCGGGCGGTGTGGCCCCTGCTTCCTCCGCCCTTGGGTTCCGAGCTAAGAGGGAGGGGGTCGCCTCCGTCCTCAGCCTCCTTAGGCCCGTTGAGTGCCGGCCGGATCGATGTCTCCTCCCATGGTCCATGGGTTTTTTCCTCTCTCGCAGGTTCCAGGAGTAAGAACGGTCCATGACCTTAATCTTTAAAGCCTCTGAGGGGAAGAAGGGAGGGGAGCTGTCTTGGAATATAAAGGGGTGTGGGATAAGAAGAACATGAAATATTACAATGTTTTCAAGAATGTGAAAAACGTATTAAAAAAAGTATTCTCTTAATCGTCTCGAAACCAAAATACAGAATTTTTAAAGACAATTTTTAATATAATGCTATTTAAAAAAATTGAGATTATAATTGACGTATAACATTGTGCAAGTTTAAGGTGTACAACGGGTTGATTTGATACATTCGATCGATACATATTGCACTATGATCACGACCATAGCATTAGCTAACACTGCCATAGCGTTGCATAATTATCATTTCTTTTTTGTGATAAGAACATTTAAGATCTAGTCTCTTAGCAACTTCGAAGTATATAATACAGTATTGTTGACTATAATCACTATGCTGTGCATTACATCTCCAGAACTTACTCATCTTCTAGTTGCAAGTTTGTAGACTTTAGTTTTTTACAACAGTTTTAGGTTCACAGCAAAATTGAGAAAATACAGAGATTCCCCGTATACTTTCTGCCCCTACACACACATAGCCTCCCCCATTATCAACATCCCCCACCAAAGTGGTACATTTGGTACAATTGATAATCTGTATTGACACATCATAATCACTGAAAGTCCATAGTTTACATTAGAGTTCACTGTTGGTGTACTTTTATGAGTTTGGACAAATTTATAATGACATGTCCACCATTATATTATAAAGAGTAGTTTTACTGCCCATTTTAAAAATCAGCTTGTTTGTTTTCTTACTGTTGAGTTATAAGAGTTCTTTGTATACTTTAGGTAATATTCGTTTATCAGATATGTCTTTTATAAATATTTTCTCCCAGTCTTTAGCTTCTCTTTTTATTTTTTTTTGTAGCGTCTTTTGCACCACAGAAAATCTTAATTTTAATGAAATCCAGCTTATCAATTCTTTCTTTCATGGACTGTGCCTTTGGTGTTGTATCTAAAAAGTCTTCACCAAACCTTGATTTCCTCATATATTATCTTCTAGGAGTTTAATAGTTTTGAGTTTTACATTTATGTCTGTGATCCATTTTGAGTGAATTTTTGTGACGGGTGTAAAGTCTGTGTCTAGATTCATTATTTGGCATGTGGATGTCCAGTTGTTCTAGCACCATTGGTTCAAAAGACTATCCTTGCTCCATTGTATTGCCTTTGCTCCTTTGTCAAAGATCGGTTAACTGTATTTATGTGGGTCTATTTCTGGATTCTATATTCTGGTCCATTGATCTATTTGTCTATTCATTTGCCAATACCACACTGTCTTCATTACTCTAGCTTCATAGTGAAGTCTTGAAGTCAGGTCGTGTCATTCTAACCAACTTTGTTTCTCTCCTTCAATTTTATGTTTGTCGGCTATTCTGGGTCCTTAGTCTCTCCATATAAACTTCAGAATCAATTTTTCATATCCACAAAATAACTTGCTGGAATTTTGATGGGGACTGCATTGAATCTATTGATCAAGTTAGGACCTGGGACAGCTCCTGGAGGTAAAACTTACAAAAGTGTCCTCCCCTCCCCATGACTGGGTCTCCTTGGAGTTTTTCTCTCTCAGACTTTCCTACACTGAGCCTCCAGCAATTCATCAATTCCAGTTCAGGTTTCCTTATCCCAGCACTAGTTCCTGCAGCGGCTGCTGCTGGTGGGTTTCTGTAAGTTGTGATTCTCTCTATTTGCCTGTTGGTATTTCCAATTTTGGGGTAGGGTTTGCCCTGTGACCTCACGTCTTTTATGGACTAAGAGTGGTTGATTTTTCAGTTTGTTCATCCTATTACTTGTTGTTAGGATGGAGTGGCTTCCAAGCTTCCTTCATGCTGAACTGGAAAAAAGTCCCAGAATATTTTAAAAATAAAAATAGTTAAAGCACTGCATATTAGTGTCTGTAGGATACTAGAAATCAATGCTCAAAAGAAAATACAAAGTAAAAGTAAATTAAATTTCCAATTAAAATTTCTAAATTTTTAATTAGAAAAAAATTAAAGTAATCCCCAGGACAGCAGAAGGAAGGAATTAGAAAGGATAAAAGAAGCAATTCATAAATTAGAAAATAGAAATGGGAATATTAATAAATATAAGATTTAGAAAAAGCACCAATAGAATAGATAGCTGGCTCTGCTATGCAAGAAACGGGCTGGCCCCGTGGCCGAGTGGTTAAGTTTGCATGCTCTGCTTCAGTGGCCTAGGGTTTCACCAGTTCAGATCCTGAACACAGACATGGCACCGCTCATCAGGCCATGCTGTGGCAGTGACCCACATAACACAAGCAGGAGGACCCACAACTAGAATATATACAACCATGTATTGGGGGGCTTTGGGGAGAAGAAAAAGAGATTGGCAACAGATGTTAGCTCAGGAGCTGATCTTTAAAAAAAAAAAAGAAAGAAGGAAACAGAGAGGAAGCACGAAGTACAAAATAAGGGGAAGTAACCACAGACACAGAAAAAATTAATAAAGTTGTATGGAATTACGTAACTCTATGCAATACATTTGAAAATCTGGATGAAATGGATGAAATTCCAAGAAAATATAATTTATCAAAACATCCCAGGAGCAATGACTTGTAGTTACACCACCAAAACCATGATCCATGAAACAAAAAATTGATAAATTCTTCTTCATTAAAATTAAAAACTTCTGTTCTGCAAAAGACATTGTTAAGAGGATGAAAAGACGAGCCACAGACTGGGAGAAAATATCTGCAAATCATGTATCTGACAAAGCACTTATGTCCAAAATATATAAAGAACTCTTAAAATTCAACAATAAGAAAACAAACCACCTAATTTAAAAGCGGGCAGACACTTTACCAAAGAAGATATAGAGACAAGTGTACAAAGAGTTGCTCACCATCATATGTCATTAGGTAACTGCAAATTTAAACTACTATGAGATATCGCTATATACCTATTAGAATAGCCAAAATCCAAAACACTGACAATACCAAATGCTGGTTAGGATGTGGAGCAATAAGAACTCTCATTTACTGCTAGTGAGAATGTGAATGGTTTTACAAGCCAGTTTGTAGTTTCTTACAAAGGTAAACATAGTCTTACCACACAGTCCAGCAACTGCATTCATAGGTATCTACCCAAATGACTTGAAAATTCACACCCACAGAAACATCTGTGCACGAATGTTTACAGCAGCTTTATCCACAATTGCTCCCAACTGAAAACAACCAGATGTCCTTCAGTAAGTGAATGGATAAACAAACTGTGGTACCACCATACAATGGAATATTAGGAATATTATTCAGTGAAAAGAATAAATGAGTTATCAAGCCATAAAAAGACATAGAGGAACCTTAAATGCATATTGCTAAGTGAAAGTGGCCAGTATGAAAATGCTATATACTGTATGATTCCAATGACATGACATTCTGGAAGAGGCAAAACTCGAGAGACAGTAAAAACATCAGTAGTTGTTCCAAGTTTGAGGGGAGGAGAGGATGAATAAGTGGAGTGTAGGGGATTTTTAAGGCAGTGAAACTATTCTTTTTTTTATTTAATTTATTTATTTATTTTGAGGAAAATTAGCCCTGAGCTAACATCCGCCACCAATCCTCTTTTTGCTGAGGGAGACTGGCCCTGAGCTAACATCCGTGCCCACCCTCCTTCACTTTACATGCGGGACGCCTGCCACAGCAATGGCCCGGTAAGGCGTGCCATGTCTGCACCCAGATCTGAACCAACAAACCCCAGGCCGCCGAAGCAGAACGTGCCAACTTAACCACTGCACCACCGGGCTGGCCCCCAAGGGAGTGAAACTATTCTATATGATACTGTAATGGTGGATATATCCATGACATTATGCATTAATCAAAACCTACAGAACTGTACAAAGAGTGAACCTTCATGTAAAATACAGACTTTAGTTAATAATAATGTATCCATATTGGCTCATCAATTGTAACACACGTATGACAGTAATGCAAGATGCTAATAACAGGAGAAACTGTTTTGAGGGAGAGTGAGTATATGGGAATTCTCTGTACTTTCTGGTCAGTTTTTCTGCAAGCCTAAAACTGCTCTAAAAAATAGTCTATTACTGAAACTAATATATCAAATAAATTTTTAAAATCCCAAATGGTTTTGCCTGGAGCTGGTAGAATTATGATCAATTCTCCATCCTTCTTTTTTCCTACCTCTTTACAGTTTCCTGTACTTTGCTAGTATGTTCTGCAAAGAAAATGCATTATTTTGGCAATAGACTAAAACTGAGAAAGAACATAGGGGCCTGCCTCATGGCCAATGGTTAAGTTGGCGCATTCCAATTCGGCCGCCTGGGGTTTCCCCAGTTTGGATCCTGGGTGTGGACATGGCACCACCCATCAAGCCATGCTGAGGCGGAGTCCCACATAGCACAACTAGAAGAACCTACAACTAGAATATACAACTATGTAGTGGGGGGCTTTGGGAGAAGAAGGAAAAAAAAAAGATTGGCAACAGATGTGAGCTCAGGTGCCAATCTTAAAAAAAACTTACAAAAAAACAAAAGAAAGAACATATAAGAGGGAGGAGAGTGGAAGTGCAGAGGTAGAGGCAAGTGTGCTGTCTGCCCCCCATGTGTGTCTACCTGCATACTCACATGCAGCCCTCTGCCAGGGGAGCAGCTGGTTTCAGGAAAAAGATGACAGTGAATGACCGTCAGGATGGTGTGAGCTCAGGTCACTTTTTCACTTCTTGGGTTCACCTATCCAATCAGCTGTGCAGTAGGTGGTATGTGATGTGACCCCCTTAGACAAGGATCCCAGTCCGGTCCTTCACATTAGAACAGCTAGGCTCCCAACTCAGAGGGGGTTATCCTACCAGGTGGCACTGGGAGAAAAACGCACCATCATGATGCTGAGGCAGGTCTAGCACCTCTGTAAAACGAGAGGCTTTGACTGAGGGACGTTCTCTCATTCTGGGCTTTGCCCGGGAGCTGTGGGGCTTACAGAAGTGAACAAGGTTTTCTCTGCCAAGTAGCCAAAGTCCAATAGGGAAGACAGTGAAGGCAGAGTGGGATGCTTAAGAAGAGGCCCTTTAGAGAGACATTATCTCGAGGCCTTTGTGGTGACCCCTGCCACCTCCCACAGTGCACCTCTACCTACTTTATCCTCTATCTCCTGTCACCTTCTTCCCCCCTTTCCTTTTCTCCATCATCACTTCCTCTTCTCTTTCTCCTTCTGCTGTGCCTTAGCACAGTGCTTTTCAAACTGCTGGCAGCAACTGCTTAGTGGGTCATAAAATCAATTCAGTAGCTCCAAACAATCATTCTAAACAACGTTTTATTATGAAAAGAATTTTAAACATGCAGAAAAGAGAACAGTAAAATAACCCATATACCACCTTGATTTAACAATTTTTAATGTTTCCCAATATTTATCTCATTTATTCTCTTTGCTAAGGTAGTTTAAATTACAGACAATGATGTTTCATCCCTAAAAACTGAAGTATAAATCTCTAGAAGATAAGCACATTTTCCTACATAACTATAATATCATACTTTCCAAACGCATATTTCCCAAATTTGGACCATTGTTTTAAAAAAATGAAATAGAATGGAAAATATTTCAGGGCTTTGCATGTAGTAAGGGAAAAAATTGTTCTGTACAACTTTTGTTTTAATTATGCATCTGTATGTCTACTGTGTCATGATGTAAAATTTATAACATACTGTGGTTTGCAGTCTCAGAAGTTTGAAGAGCTCTGCTCTAGGCCAGTGGTACTCAAAGTGTGGTCCCAGGACCAGCAGCATCAGTATTCCTCGGGACTTGTTATAAATGCAAGTTCTCAGGCCTCATCCCACACTATCTAATCAGAATCTCTAGAGGCGGAAACCAGGAATCTGTATTAAAAAAAAATCACCTGTATTTCCAGGTGATTGTGCTAGTTTGAGAACCACTGATTCAGACTAAACTGGGTGGCCCCAGGGGGGCCCCAGGCATCCCTCACCCTCACCTGTGGCACCCAAGCAGGTCCTTTGTCGTTCTCTTCATTGTCAGAGGCAGTGCAGACAGTCCACCAACACGGAGGTGGAATCTACCTTGGCAGTCTTGGGGGATGATTTTTCTTTCCAAGGTCATGCAAATCCTTACCTGAAGGCAGAGCATGGTCTTGATTCGTAAAATTAGTAATACACAGTTTGATCTTGGTAGCAGCAGCATCTGTAAAATGAGACCAAAGTCTTTAAAGGGTTATGGTGAGGCTTAAATGGTGTTTGTGAAATGCCTACCATCATACCAGGCACAGAGCAGTTATTTAGTCCATGGTGGTGGCAGCTGCTGTACTTGATGATACTGCCTATCACAACTCTGGGCAAGTAATTGATCTTCAATAGACATGACTGATTGGTAATTAATTCATTAGAGAGGGAGGCAGTCTATTCTGGCTTGTTCCTTGATTTTGCCATATATCAGAGCAATGCGATTTGTCAGAGACAGGAAATAGATCATAATTAGGAAGGAGAAAAGAAGATAAGGATGGGAAGGGGGAGGAGAGGAAGGGGAGATGACAGGAAGCATGTTCATATTCATGAGCAATGGAGACAATGACAGTTTTCTTGGAGGGACAAGGAGGTATGGGCTATTGATCACTATGTGGTCATTTCTTCTTAGTTACATTACAGGATTTCAGAACTGGAAAAGGGAATACTAGATCACAGACCCACCCCACCTTGGCCCAGGAGAAACAGTTGAGGCCCTGGCAAAACACGTGTTAGAGAGATAGGGGCAGAACTGGTTTCTGAGGACCAGCACTGCCTGCTATATCTTGCCATAAATTCAGCCAATTCATCTCCATGGAAACCTCTGAAGATGGTGAAGGTACAGACGGGGGAAAGGAGAGAGTGCTCTGAGTGTGATTTCTTTCCTTTCTGTCCCTTTCATACTCTCCCTCATTCCTCTTCATCAGCTTCTCCTGCCTCCTCTTCCCTTTCCCTTCTTTTCCTGATTCTCACCCATAAGGACCTGGCCTAAACCAGGAAGCTGAGGTGACTGGATCTGCAAAGTCCAGAAACCCCCACACCGGCAGTCTCCTTAGCAATGTGCTGGTTTCTAGTGACCCAAACTCACAACTGGCTCTGGCTGGGCACCAGGGTTCTGACTACCACCAACAGGAAACACCTCGTTTGGTTCCTCCATGGAATAGAATAGCCAGAAACCACCACGGAAACACAATCCAAAGCCGTCTCACTCCTTTGGATCTTTAACCCTTTTCTGAATCTCTTGCAAGAGGTTACTATGAAAATGGTTGCTTTGCTTGTGCAGGCAGAGTGCAAAGTGACCAAACCTCACAGGAGGGAGGGACTTCCGCACAAATCTCACGTCGCAGGTGGACTAACATCATCTGTTGCCCACAGCCCACAATTATTACAGAAAGCATTTTTAAATGTCCCCAAGCCCCTGGGATGAGTGGATACTACTAGAAATTGGATCCAGGGTGTTTGGGCTTTGGCTTTTCACATGCCAGAAGAGGAAAGCTGAGCTTCCTGGCATTGGCAAAGGGTGGCCCCGGCACTTTCGGATATTCAGGGCCCCCCCCTGTTGTAGAATGGACTGAGGACAACCTGAGCAGATTCGCGTTTGCTCAGGCTTTTCCCGCGGAGCTCTGCTGAACCGGGTTAGTCTTTTGCTGCCTGTCATCTGGAACCACCTAACGAGGCCGCGGGAGCGTCTACCGCCCGAGAGCTGCTCGGAGAAGACGCTCCTGGGGCTGAGGGGGAGGAGGGCCCGCACCCGGGCTGTGCCAGAGCCTTTCCAGGAGGGAGCACTGGCGCGCCTGACAGTCGGCCGACGGAGCGGCGGCGCACGGGAGTGGCTGCACAAAGGAAAAGGCCCACCCGGTGGAGACCGGAGTGCGCACAAGCGTGCCCAGCCCTGGCCGTGCACAGCCCGCACTTCCGGCTCCAAGTGCCGGTGTGTCCACTGGACGCTGGTAACTGCGTGAGACAACCCCTAAGGGGGGCAAACCAACTCCAACGGCCCCCATCCCTCCCCAACAGCTTCCCCCATCTCCCCCCCCCCCCCCCGGTCCGGAGTCAGGATTTAGGGGCGAGCAGCAGGGCCTCACCCAGCCCTCCGTTCCTGGCTCTGGCTGGATGGCAGTACGTCTCCCAGTCAGCCCCTTCTCGCCTCAGCTTCTCCGCAGACACCGCTGGGAAGAACGAGCGCTGGGCGTTCAGAAGCCCGGTGCTGGCCGGAGCGACTAAGCTGATGTCTCCCCTCTGTTCCAAAGACAGATCGCGAGCCGCCTCCACTCCGGGGGCCGGAGCGCCAACTCCCCGGCCGGGGAAGGCGCGCAGCTTGACCGCCCGAAAACGGGCGACGCTCCCGCGCTTGCGCGCTCCCCCGGAGCCCCCGGCACCGCCCGGAGGCGGGGAGAGGTGGGTGTGGAGGCGGGAGGCTCCGGGCTAGGGGTGGGCGGCGCCGAGGAGCCCCTGCTGCCACGCGCCTCCGCGCCTCCGCACCTCCGCCCTGTGCGCATGCAGGCTCCGCGCTCCCCCTGCGCTGGGGCCGAGCATCCTTCATCCTGACGCTCGCAGCCGCGCGCCGGAGACCCGACCGCCCAGGACCCCAAATCCAGAAGCCCGTGCGCTCCCTCGGCTGGAGAAGCCCGTGCTGCAAGATTGGGGCCACTTGGTTTTCTCACCTCCAGAACTGCCATTTCCCTCTCTCTCAAAGCCAGACGTTACGTTGGGAAAGCTTAATCGACTTAATCTTTAAATTAATCCCCTGCAGGGCGTGGCTGGCGTCCTCTAGGCGAGCGGCCCCGGAGAGTTGGCCCTGGCTGGGAGTGACTCTCGTTTTGTGCTTGAGGAGAGCGAGGAAGAATGTGAGGGCAGAACATCCTTGGGAGAAGATGCCTTTTAAAAATCATGCGTAACAGCAGTTGAAACGATTTTGTGTTGCTTTGTTTTGTTTATACTGAGTGGTTTTTCGATGAAATGCTATTTTGATTAAAAGAAGAAATGGCCCCCCAGGAGCTCACCCGGCGCCTGGCCACAGTGATCACTCACGTCGGTAAATGAAGCTTTCTTTTTTTCTCTTGCGTTTTATTAATTGAGGGTGGGGACATAGTCTCTAGGGCCTCGTGTCCCCCCCTACCCTCACCCGCAGCCCAAGGGCAGCGCCCTTCCCTGCTTCTCTGCCTCAAGATGCTGCTTGGGGCGGCCAGTGACAGGCATCCCTGGGGCGCGGCGCTCTCGACCTTGGGGTCTCCCATGTCTGGCGGGGCTGGGGCGGCCTTGGGGCAGGTGCTACCCCCAGGCAGTTGCCAAGTCTGTTGAGCCTGAAATCGAGGGCTACTGGGCTGTTACGATCCGTCACCCACTCTGACCGCGGGCGAGGGTGGGGAGTGGTGTCGTGGTTTACACAACAAAGGAGAGGGGACGTGACGAAAGAATGTCGGTGTTTTGCCGCGGGACCTGCTACTGCCAGACCCCTGGAGGCTTATTCACAAGGTAGCTGGTGAAATGCAGGCTACATTTAGGGGGCCACTTCTCAGGCTGGCTCCCAGGCCTGTTAGAAATACTGCGAGGTGTCGGCACATCTCTCTGAACCACAGTGGGAAACCTCTAGAAGCCCCAGAAGACTGAGCAATGTTAATCCTCTCTCATGAGTTAAAAAAGGGAAGCAAAATATTTATGCTTTGCTCCTGAAATAAGGGTTGTGGTGAAAAGATAGGCCCTATTTAGTAAAGAGAACATTGAGACAGTGGCGAGTTAATTCCTTCTTAGCATTTTCTTCCTCCACCTGTTCCCTGGACCTCCGCAGGTAAACGACACGTTCTGGTTCAGAGCATTTGGATGTAGATGACTAGAATTATCAGGATAATTGTCTGTTGCTCAATTCACTTTGAGACCCTTAATGCAAATTAGTTTTTATCGATAAAGTCAGGAAGTTTTTACCTCAAAGTTCCACCCATTTGTTAAAATTGCCTTCTTGGTATCTGTATGTTAAATATTGCTTCAATTAGCGAGCCCTCATGGCTCTTGGAGCACCCTAGTGCATTGTGTTTAGTGCAATAATGATATGTATCTCGATTGATATACATGTGGGGATATACTTTGTGAAGATGATTTATATGGGATGGCCTGGTTTTCATGATTCAGTTGAAAAAAAATGTTTCTGGTGCCAAACGTGGCCACTGACCTGGTATGTCTTTAAGATGAAAGGTCAGTAAAATCCTACCAGGGAAGGCTGAATGTGAAATATTGCTGAAGGCAGGATGACATTGAACAGAATTTGGAGTTTGAAATATATTGAATGCTGAAATGATTGTGCTAAATACCGCCCATGCATGAAGTTGTGATCTGGAGAAAGAGCAGCGGACGGGTATGACCGTCTGCATTTGAATCCTTCCCTGGACAAGTCATTCAACCTCAAGCTGAGAAATGGGAATTTTAGTAATCCTTCCGCACCTGGCTCAAAGGCTGTTTGTAAGATAACGTGGGTAAAAACAGCGTCTAAACTGTGGTTGCGTTGTTGGTCCTCTCCCTGGGCCCTCTGCCACTAAAGATCTTGGGCAGACCTCTCAGGGTGAAGCGTCCCATCTGTTAAGTCAGGAGATGGATGCGGATGACTATTAGGGTCCCTCCTGTGTTTCTCTGGATGTAGGGTCTTCTCGAAGATCTGGTAGGGAGTATTCCTTGGCTGCCTGTGACCCAGGCTGTGATAGTTTCTTGCCCACCTTGCTGCTTCTCTCCTGTAGTCAGCTCCAGCATGCAGGATACCAGTGTGAGCTTGTAATTTCTGCTCTCAGAGAACTTCTAATGACCTCTGGCATTTGTGTACCTACTGTCTCCTGTGTACTCTCTCAAACCTATGAAATAGGTGGGGTGTACATTATCATCCCCATCTTACAAACGAAGGAATTGAGACTTAGGAAGTTCATCTTTCAAGATTTCAGGGGCAACAAGTGGCAGGCTCGGGACCAGAAGGCAGCTCTTCATTCCTTCTGTGGGGGCATCTCATTGAGGGGGTCTCTAACCCTGCAACAGCCCTGCCTATGTGGAGAGTTGCGTTGATTAGCCAGTGGAGCTTCTGCTAGGGTGGGTTGGCTCTGCATTTGACTGTTCTTTTCCGGCCTTTGCTTGGCGAGCAGCCTCTGAGGGGTGTGATCATGAGTTGGGGAAGGGTTGAGCAGTGCTTGAAGCAAGATGGTGGGTTAGACATCCCTCTGGTCCTCTTCTAGCCACTCATCTGGGTTGCAACATTGTGCTTCCATATTCACTCTGCCACCTCTGTCCCTCAGCCAGTTCCTCCTCCAGCTGGGGTTTCTGCTCTTTCTTTCCACAGTCCCTTAGATTTGACAATTCAGTTCTGGGGCCTGTTGATCCAGTTCCTGAAATATCTCAAGGGTGAGTCTCCTCCTGTCCACTGCCACCTGCCTGTGACCTGCTTCAGGACCTCATTTCCTTCTGACTGACCATTGGGCAAGCCTCCTGCCTCCGCTGTGTTTGTATCTAACCTACACTAGGAATAATAAAACAACAACAACACAGCACTCGTGTATTCTGGGAGCTTTCATGATACCCTCACACAGTCATTCTCTGTAGCCTGGAGTACCAGCTCTTCACTATTTGGCTCCCTTCTAGTCTTATCTCCTGGTGCTTGATATTTCTCCACCTTTGGTTGGTTAACTTGGGCTATTCAGTTCTTCAGTTTTGTCCCACTGTATTTTCCAACTCTGTTCCCCACTCCATTGTGCTTCTTTTTTTCCTCCACCTGGAATGCCCCCTTAGTATATTTCTCCTTAAATAGTACACACCTTTCAAGCCCAGTTCAATGACTCCTCCGCCAGGGGGCTTTCCTCATCCTACCAGCGGGACATAATGACTCCTGCTTCTGAATTCTAAAGTAGGTTTTGTTCTACTCACATCGTGCTTCTCGTACTCTCCTTCATATTATGGTTAGTTGGTTATTCGTGTTCTCATCTTCTCTCTGCTCCTAGACTCTTCATTACTTATTCGTGTGTCCAGGCAGTTACCTAACGCAGGGCCTCCATCTAAGGAGACGCAGAATAAATATTTGCTGAATAAATGAGTGATTTGTTGTGCCTTGGAATGGACCTTGAGTATTGAGTAATGCCAGGCAGTGTTTACACAGACAGCTCTGAAGTATTTGTGGATAACTCTTTGACTCTCAGACCCCATTTTTCAAGTAAACATTAGGCCCTTCAAATATTCATATGTTGTGGTTCACTGTGGGGACTTCCTTCTCTGGATTTTATTAGTTTGTCAGGGACCCTCATAAAATATGCAGTTCACATGTGAACAGTGTCCAGATATGTTTTTACCATGCAGGGCACAAGTAGGACCATCCTCTCCCCTTTGTTCTGGACTATAGTCACATTGGTTTGATCACAAAATTTGAATCAGAAAAGAGTTGTTTGACTTTCCCCACCCCATCCCTTTCGAATCTTGAATCCTCTCTATAGTAACTTTTGCTATACTGCTATTTATATGCAGCTGTGCTGCCTGAATAAACATGGATGTTCTACTAATGCATCTCAGATTGCTCTAGGATTTTGATTGACAGGGCACATATGGCTCACACGGGGCTTCCAGTCAGTGGAAACCCTTAGTCATCCAGCTGGTTGGTGTCAGTAATCCCCCACACAGGTTTCACATTTCCAGTCCAGCTCACTGTCCACCTTGTCATCTCATATTAGAAGTAATTATTTTGATTTTACTTTATCATTGTTCTGAAATAGCTTCATATGTTTGACTATGCTTGACGAAACTGTGAAGCAGAAGGTAATATCCTTTGAGACATTCCTTGTATACTTATGCATTACTTAATGATGAGGACGTGTTCTGAGAAATGCATCATTAGCCGATTTCATCATTGTGCGAATATGACAGAGTGTACTTACACAACTCTAGATGGTATAGCCTATTATACACCTGCACTTTATGATATAGCCTATTGCTTCTCGGCTACGAACCTGTACAGCATGTTACTTTACTGAATACTGTAGGCAATTGTAACACAATGTTACCATTTGTATATGTAAACATAGAAAAGGTACAGTAAAAATATGGTATAAAAGATAAAAAACGGTACACCTGTATAGGACACTTACCATGAATGGAGCTAGCAGGGCTGGAAGTTGCTCTGGGTGAGTCAGTGAGTGAGTGGTGAGTGAATGTGAGGGCCTAGGGCATTACTGTACACCACTATAGACTTCATCAACACTGTACTC